ATCTCCTCCTTGCTGTTGATGGGTGGTTCTTGTTGCTTTATTTCCAGTGCCTCCCTGATCTTTCTTTCAACTGGATCTACCACATTTCTGTGTACGATGGAGATGCGAAGTTCCGGCGGTCTTCTTGAGCGTGCCTTAGTGTGCGGTGTCTCGAGAATGGGTTCTCCGGGTAGCTCTGTGGGCTCCGCAAAGCTCTTAGATGTTCCTCCATTCTCTTGTGAAGTGGCCTCGATGTTTCTCCTATGTAAAACTCGTGACATGAGAGGCACACCACCTTGTACTCTTTTCACTGTATTAGTGCTGTAACATTGTGAGGGTATATGCTGTTTGATTTAAGATCGAGTGACCTGACGAAGGGCTTATGCCCGAAACGTTGTCATATGATAAAGATTTAACGAAGAGAAGAGCTTCGCCGTTCCTGTGATTACAGCAAGATTAAACACATGAAGCTCAGGGAACCATCGATTCTGATGAATGACTGGTGCCTACAATCCTGTAAATTATTACATCTCGTCCATGTATTCCCGTGGTTGTGTTTCTGCTGTGCTAAAAGGGAATCTGAAGATTGCTGAGAACCTGGAATGGAGGTATGTGCAAGTGAAATGAGCGAGTTGTGTGCTGATGGTGGATATGACAATGAAGCCGGCGCGTTAAGAGCAGGAAGCAGAGTTGAATGTTTGGCTTTCTTTGCTTCTAATTGGCTCAGTCGTGTCTGTAGACGAGAGGTCAGGAGTGAGTGAGAGCAATTAAGTCAGGCAACACCGCAGGCGAGTCTCCCCGAGAGGCATGATAGGTGTGAAGTGAGATCTTTTAAGAACATCACACACCCCCATGACGACGCGTACCGTCCCCACCTCCATCTGCACTCCGATGCTAGGTCAGAGGAGGTCCGACGACCTGGACCAGGGCAGGACGTAGATGCCACAGGCGGTCGTTCAATAGCCGATTGAATACTGCCACAGATGTGGTTGATTTAGAGGTGAGTGCGAATTCCAGCTTCGAAGGCAAACTGTACTGCACTCACCTCCGAAGACTATCCTTGCCGAGTGCGAGAAGAATGTGTCGGCAGATGAGCAAATGTATTACCTTCGCCAGTTGAGAGCGAGCAGAAATAGGGGTGAAAGGTAGTGGTGCCGGGAAGCCGTTTGGGACCCGCCCGCGTTATTCTCAGGGAACAGCACCGTTGAGATCAGAATCGCGCAGCAAAAAACGCAGTCAGCGGTAGGTAGCAGCTTGGCGTGGCGTTGAGGTGTTCAGTGGGATACTTTTGGTCGTTGCAGCAAAAGCTGGAGATCTTGGCACTCGAACAGCACAGTTTGCCAGTCACTCCGTGGTAGAGAAACGTCGAGGAGTCACCTCCGAGCTATGACACGGTCGACGCGGTGCAATCACTTGTTCGAGGATTTCTCGAAGAATAAGACTGTAGCCTCTAGCCACTCGGATTCTGAGTGTCATATCAAATAAGCCTCATCGGTAAACCGACAGTGAAATCGTGTCCTTACAACGATGTTGCGTGTTGTAATTGAAGACCTACGTTTCAATGATGTCAAAATGTGAACTGCCCCAAGCTTGGTCTCGATAGGTTATAAAGACGGAATTTAATCGGATATCGATAATGACTCAGGAAAATCGATCTGGAGAATTGGTTCCATAGCGATGGAACAAAATTCAGCGCAGTCCGACTTGGTGGGGGTATCAAGTGGTACTCATTGGAGCTTATACAGGTCGCCTTGTGAAAACGTGTAAGTTTTTGTAGCCGAAAATGGCTCACCTCACCTGTATTATTTCGGAGGTTCACAAGGGTTTACAGGTTTCACCAAAATGAGGCTAATAGTCAAGATGAACTAACAAAAGGAACTAGCGGAAGTGCAATGCATATGCCCCCCTCCATGCCGAACAGCGCCCGAAATTTTCTTCTTTGAGCCTTCAGGTGGAACTATCGAACTTATCGCATGTGATTCCGGCAACTCAGACAAAATATTTATTTCTAGTAGAATACTGCTTCGTTTAAATGGATTTGACCTTGTAGAACTGTGACGGATTGGCCCAGGATCGACAGCCTACCGGTATTGTGTAGATGAATTCGAAATTGTGCTCCACGCTTCGGATACGATTGGTAGGCTGGAACAGAGATTTCAAGTGTTTGGCAAGAAAAACGAATTTCAGGCCACAATATGCAGCAGTGTATCGCTGAAATCTGTTGCCAACTTTTTATTGGGAGAATTTTTTATTGGAGGAAACCACTGACGTGAACTAAGGATTTAGAGGCTTCGCTTCCCCTCACAGCTAATTCCTGAAGTCTGCTAATACAAATATATACTCTAAACTCACCATATAGACTGCGCTTTTGAAGTACCGCTCCCCAAAAAGGTCCCAGTGCACATTGAGCTGAACCTGTGGCTGGATCTTCCATGATTCCTACCCATGGTGCGAAATATCGACAAACATAATCGTACGGTTCTGCTTCTGCGTCTACAAATCCCTGAAATATCGTCGTACTTCAGTTTTTCGTAGCATCCCATCCGCAACAGCAATCGTATTTTGCTAGTGGGATCACACAATAATATTGAGATGGACCTGCGATTTGGCGTGGGCAGGCGTAGGCGCCAGAGTAACTATTACTCCACGTGTGAATTCACCCTCAGGATCAAGTTTCACCATCCTATCAGCTCGTTTTGAAGTAATCTCCGACAACTCGAAACTGAAATTTGGAAATCTTCAATTATTTCAGGTTTCAGTGGCTAAAGAAAAAACAGGAGAAACAAGGAAATTATCAGTGGCTGGGGTTACTGCGCTCCTGAAAACTCAAAAAGATGTCGAGATAACGGATAGGCGGTTAATATTAACCACTGCCTTCCCCTCTGATGCACCCATGCTTCTTAAGGCAGAACCGGCAATTACACAATGAAAGGGGGAGGGATTTTCTTATTCCACAGATAGTCTCAGGGGTTGTGCCACTATCGCTGCTCCACACTGAGTGACTACTGGACCCATAAAGCAACGATACCCGACTCGTAGAAGTTGCGCCATCCACCTGGGGATGAAGTATGTCAGCGTTATGAGCTTGTCATTCTAATGGTAAGTGGAAGAGCGCACCAATGAGGAAGGCTGAACGGCAGTGAGTCTCCGCCCACCTCTTCGCTGGCAACCGCAATGTGTCTTCGAGTCCACAAAAAAACCAAATACCCCCCCCCCACCCCCTCCCCGAGGGGCAGAATATAGAGTCCGATTGAGGGGAAGGATTTTGACGTCTGCCGCAATTTTTTCAAGTATCTGTAAGACTTCCAAGTGTAACTGATCGTGAGAGTTCTTTTCCAATGTGGCAAAGTTATGACAAAAATGAAAAAAGTAGAAAGTTCGAGGAACTACTGGCACATACTTTGTCGTTTCTTTGTCGATAACAATGATCAGTTTTTTTG